GGTCTAGAACTCTTGGCCAAAAGCAATCCTCTTTTCTTGGCCTCCCAAAGTACTGGGGTCACAGGTATGAGCCACTGCGCCTCACCAAATTATAAAACTTTTATAACACTATCTTTATGGAAAAAAAAAAAAAAAGTTCCAGTTATGGTATTCAGAGAATAACTTATCTGACTCCAATTACAATTCAATTCATTCTACGTATAGGCCAGAAGGGTGTGGGGGAGTAAGGCGGATGAAGAGAGGTTGGTTAATAGGTAAATCATACAGTTAGATGGAGTAAGTTCTAACGTCTGATAACAGAGGAGGATGACTATAGTTAACAACAATGTACTGTATATTTCAAAGTAGCTAGAAGAGAGGACTTGAAATGTTCCCAACACACAGAAACGATAAACACTTAAAGTGATGGATACCCTAAATACCCTGACCTGATTATTATACACTGTATGAATATAACAAAATATCACATGTACCCTACCCCATAAATGTGAAAATATCATGTATCAATTTAAAAATTTTTTAAAGATTCTATTATTAATTTATTCAACATTTACCAAGCACCTATTATATAACCAGGCACAGTGTTAAGCAAAAGTAACAGTGTTAAACTGATGGGATCCCATTCAACTCCTGCCTGGCTCAGAGCACTATAGTATGAAAAAAGAGCTGGGACTTAGAGGTCAGACCCATCTAGTTGCAATCCCAGCTCTACCACTTACTGTCATTAGGAATGTTACTTACCTTTTCTGAACTTCAATCTCTCTATCTTCTAAAACAGGTCAAATAGGGCCTCCCTCAAAGTGCAAGAGTTAAATAAGATAAATCAGGTAAAGCACAAAGCATACTGCCTACCACACAATCAGTATTCAATAATTACTTCCTATTACTAATAGCAAACTGTAAGTCTTCATAAAGCAATCAAGAAGTTGGAAACTGCTACTAAGCCTATAAAAAGCCACTATAACTGCGATTGTGAGAGCATAGAAACCCCTCAAATGGCCGGGCGCGGTGGCTCACGCCTGTAATCCCAGCACTTTGGGAGGCCGAGGCAGGGAGATCACGAGGTCAGGAGATTGAGACCATCCTGGCTAACATGGTGAAACTCCATCTCTACTAAAAACACAAAAAATTAGCCAGGCGTGGTGGCACATGCCTGTAGTCCCAGCTACTTGGGAGGCTGAGGCAGGAGAATGGCTTGAACCCGGGATTTGGAGGTTGCAGTGAGCAGAGATTGTGCCACTGCACCCCAGCCTGGGCGACAGAGCAAGACTCCGTCTTAAAAAAAACAAAAACCTCAAATTCTGGCTTTCTCTTTCTCCAGCATTATCTCCTACTACCTACATAATCTTTAATGTAGCTCCAAGTCCCCATGAGTGGGGACAGACTGAAAGATGAGATCTGGGCAGCAAACAGGGCAGTGGCAAGCCAAAGGTCACTGCAAAAAAGAAAATTCATCAGCTACAGCTCTGGCAGGACACACAGGTGGTAGACAGAAGAAGGGAGGAAGGAAGGAGATGGGAGGGGAAGGGAGAAGGAAGCAAGGGGACGATGAGGAAAGGGGGGAAGAGGGGAAAAAAGGAGAGAAAGAATGAGAATATGAATGAACACAAAAGGCTAATAATCCAGTAATATGAAAGTGTAGGCCAAGTTTGCATGTAATGTGTCTCTAAAAGGAAAACACTTCAATCAGCACTTTTACAATTCATTCTGCATTTCTTTCATAAAAATGAATTTAAAAATAAGTTAAATATCATCAGCGTCATCAAAAGAAAAACAAACATGGAGTAACCATATTATTACTACAGCCTGAGAGATGTGCCTAGACATCAACGTCAGTACCTAAACAAGAAAAGAAAGCATTCAACACACATAATCACTCCAAGTATAGTTTAACAGCAAACAACATTTGAGAGTTTTGGTTTTCCCTAGAAAATATAGAATAAATGTTCATATAATATAAAAGAGCACATTTTACTGGACCTGTTTTGAAGCAAGTTATCTGTGAACTCAGGAGCTACTTTCACATAAGGAGTTTACTAAAAGTTTAAGTTTGTGTCTATGTAAACAAGAATCTACTTAGCACACCAGTGGGATCCACAGCTTTTCCCAAGATTTCTGTTACAGGATGGAAGCAAAGGCATTCTTGTAAGTTCACGGAATCATTTAAATTTTGACCAAGCTTACATTTGTCTTAATGTAACGCAAGGGGAAAAAAAGGCTAAACTATCATCAATTTCGTGCTAGAGAAAAATTAATGTTACTATGCTCGCTGTGGTTACTGATTATAGGGTCCAGTTCTGTGTTCAAGTCATGGTTTTACTCCATGGAAACTCGCAGAAGGCTCAGCTTACCAATACACAAAATAAAATGATTAAGAAGCTTTAACAGTCCTTCCAACTCACATTCCGATTCAGAGTTTGAAAATCTTTAAAAGAGAATGCTTGTTAATGGTCCTTTGAATGGAGAATGAAATAAAGGCCTCTAGAAAAATGACGTGTCAAATTATAGGTTTACAGGTTTGAAATAGCTTTCAGTGACATAGTCTTGAAATCTGTGCCTAAGGATTGTTTCAGACTACAGGCTTGTAACACCACCACAAAATTGTTTCTGTGTCCTGGCAGTTTCCTGTCAGGCATCCTTCCAGGTGGTTGCTTTCTCAGAGTCTATGGATCTCCAAAATAATTCCAGTGAAGTGGCTGTTAATATTCATGAGATATATCATTGCTTAGCCAGTGGGGTTACTGCATGCTCCACTGGATTCTAGTTATTAACAACAGTTTCGACGAGTACCAATATTCCAAATAAGCAACAAAATAGCTAAAGTAGAATAATTCTATGACTTACAGCAAGGGTTGCTCTCAGAATTGGAGAGTCTGAGAGACCACAGTGACCACCTCCAACCCTTTGATTTTAATTAAAACTCTTACGGATTAACTGGCCTGGGCTTATCACTGAGCCTCTCAACCATTTAACATTAAAACAACCAATCAAACAAAAACACTTAGCTTATCTGAGCATAGTCTTCCTCCTAAGAGCTGTGAACTTCCTCCTAAATTCCCTCAGAGAATAACAACTGTGCCATCTCTGTGTTGGATATATATTCTACAAACAGAATTTCAAAGAGATATTATTGTCCACTGCACCATCCCAGCAATTCTGGCAGCTGTGACAGCCAAAGAAGAGAAAAGGCAAATATGAACACTACGCACCTCACACGGGTACCCCCAGTCAATCCACAGCACACTTCTACCCAGTCATAAAAAATGTACCATGACAAACATTAACAATGACAGATAAAGCAAACATTAAACTTGTCTTCCAGTCAGGGTGTGAAATCTGCATTCTTAACTATGCAAACTCCACCATGGCCCATCCTAAAATCATTTTGCAGAGTAAACTAAACATTGAAAAAGAAACAAGTTTACTATATCCACTCTATGAAGCTAGATAACCCTAGAACATAACTAAAAATTTTATTTCACAGGATAATTTTGGCATGTTACCAATAAATTCTACTCGAAGCCTCAACTTTCAATAGGTGCTTACCTCCTCCCCTTTGGTTTCTCAGAAAATAAAAGATTAGCATAGCGTTAGTCTCAAATATTCACTGAATAACGTGAACATGAATTTAGCAGTAATAAACCGGCAATTAACAATGAAGATGATTGTAAATGATATTCTTCCAGCCAAAAGGAATAAAACAAATATAAACTGGACATATTTACTGGATACGAAGTCCAAGAACGTGAGTTAAGGACACACAGTGGTGTGTCAAGAAAACAAAATCCACAGTACCCACGTATGTATGAGGAGTTAAAAGTAATCTCTGCATTAGGACTAAAGATCTGCCACAGGAAAATCTTTAAATCTCAAGAAAATATTTAAATATCTTTAGTATCAATTTAAATTTAACATCCTTAAATATCAAGAAAACATCAATCTTTCTAATATCAAGAAATAACTCAATCTTTTCCCACCGCTAGACGAAAAGGGCATTTGAGACTGACCTGGAAATTCAGTGTCCCATATGGCTACAAAAATAAGGACAACTAGAAATAGTTATGAATTCTAGGAAATATATTCACAAGTGTGTAAAGATTCTATGGTATTGAACACTTAGTCAAAAGAGTCCTACTTGAATTCTCAAATCAATGACCAAGTTGCTTCCTTTCTACCCAACATCAGGAGCTTCCCTAGTTTGCACATGTCCATATTGACCAGTGGATATAAAGTCACACTGCGATTATCTGGGTCATTTAAAAATAGGTCATTAGTAGTACGGTAGTATCGCGTCTGTCTAAAAATCCTCCAAGACCGAGTGACTTTTAAACTTTGGGGTGCCTTGGTAACCCCAGGGACGCTTATTAGATGTGCAGACTCCGGGGCCCAAACTCCAGACTCAAATTCCATGGGACTAGGGAGGGGCTCGAAACCAGTATTTTTAATCATCTGCCCGGGTGAACCCGAAGTGTGGTCCAAAAAGCCACACTCGAGGCGCCTCTGCCTAACAAGCTCCACAGAGGGTGCCGACTTCAGCCGCCCCGGCCGCGATACGGGCGCCCTTAGGCTGTCGGGGGTCTGTCTGGGGGCCGGCGCGTCCGCTAGCGACGTCTGGCCCCTGAAGTGAGAAGGGACTGACAACGGCACCGCAGTTATTTTCAGTATTTCCATAAAGTCCCACGAAGCCGTGTGGCCGTGGGAAAAGGGCTTTAACTTTGAAATCCCACGGGTCTAGGTTACCACCAGCTCTGCCGTCTCCTAACAGCGCGTCCCAGCCGTTCCCTTAACGTTTGGGCCTCAGTTTCCCGATCCGTGCAACGGGCTCACGCCATCCCCGGAAGGCTGAGCGGAAACGAAACTAACTCCGCCGCTCGCAGGCACTTCCTGGCTCTGCTCAGCGCGGCCCAGCCTACCCAGCCGCCCCGGGAGGACGACCCAGCCCAAGCGCGTCGCGCAGGCAGCCGCCTCCCAACGCCCCCGGCCCTCGGCCGGCCACTCACGGGTAGGCATGGCGACCTCGACCGCGCTCGCCGCGGCACCGAGGCTCAGCGTGGTCGCGCAGGGAGCGCCGACGGCACCATGACGGCCGTTGCACGGCCGCGGAGGCCGAGACGAGGCGAAGGGCGAAGGGCGGAGGGAGCGGACGCGGACCCTGCGGTCACGCAACCGAGCGGGCGACAGCTACCGCCGCCAGCCCGGTCCCCGCCGGGCGACGCGACGGACGACCCACGCCCGTTACGTCAGCGCGCCGCTGCCGTCCCGGCTCCGCCCCCGCGGACGGCCGGGCTCGGCCCAGGAGCCCTTGTCTAGCGGGTGTACTGAGTGACTGGGGACAGCCACGTAGAACAACTTCGGGTGCTTTCTGTTGCCAAAGCCTGGTGACCTGAGTTACATTCGTTTTCCTTGATCTCTATTTGGAGTACATCACTTTACGTTTGTGAGGATGATGGCTTTGAGCGCACGGAGTATCTGTGGGCTTTTTCTTTTGCAATCGGTTTAACTTGCAATGCGTTTTGCATACTCTGAAAGCATGGTTTATTTGAGATGCACTAAGGTCATGTGGGGTGATGGCTGCTCATTTTTTGAGAAGACAGAAAATGTAATTTCCTTTTGCTCTTGTGACTTTCAGAGCGACCTTACGCCTCAGGAGTTAGTCTCCTCTGGAGAGGGCAGGTACTGTGCACTTGGCTGAGCTACTCTTCTTGACTCTGGGTGTCATTAATAATTGAGATATCTAATAGTCACCAAGTTGAGCAGACACCGGGAGCCAGAGAGCTGAGCAACGCACGTACACTATGCTAGGCGCCGTGGGCTGAGGACAGCCCATATGGAGATATAAAAGTCAACCGCAGAGGTCTAACACTGCCTTCCTCAAAGTGGGTCAAAGTGGTCCAGGATCGTTTTGTGCTTGGATCCCCTGGGGACCTGTTGTAAAGCAGATTCCTAGGTGCTGAACCAAACCTACGAACACATATACAGATGATTTAAATACAATTTTAATTTTGAGAAACTTTGTCCTAAAAAGTAGCGCTAACATTCTGATTAAAAAATGATATTGTGCAGTACTGGGAGGAGAAGATGAAGATCAGAGCCAGGAAGCGCTGAGGAGAAATTAGTCTTGGCTTGAGGTAGACTTGGAAGAAAGCAGAATTTGAATTAGCAAAGCCTAAGGGAGACCTGAAAGAGGCTGGAGAGAGGGCGGAGGGTAATTTAGAGTGAGTCATAGCAGCTGGGGAGAGGAGAGTGCGTACTGTACCTATAAAAGAGACTGTCCAGCGGGGCGCGGTGGCTCAGGCCTGTAATCCTAACACTTTGGGAGACCGAGGCGGGCGGTAGGCGGATCACCTGGGGTCGTGAGTTCGAGATCAGCCTGGCCAACATGGCGAAACCCTGTCTCTACTAAAAATACGAAAATTAGCTGGGCGTGGTGGCGCATGCCTGCATTCTCACTCAGCTACTTGGGAGGCTGAGGCAGGAGAATCGCTTGAACCCGGGAGACAGAGGTTGCAGTGAGCCGAGATCGGGGCTCTGCACTCCAGCCTGGGCAACAGAATATGACTCCTCTCAAAAATAAATAAATAAATAAATAAATAAATAAATAAATAAATAAATAGACTGTGCCTTGCTAACAGTAAAGACCAAACTACCAAGTGCTTGGCCAGCACTTATTCATGTTTCAATGCCCTGTTGCATATTTTATCATCTATAAAATCTTTCCTGCTCCCAGTTTTCTCCCTAAGACTTTGGCATTATCTTGATTCCTCTCTGCTACAGCACTTTTCCCACTGCATCCTAAATAAACTGTCATGAGTGCTTGTGTTTTACCATGGGCCTATATGCTTTTCAGAAAATGGCAAAAGCCATATTCTGTTCATATTTATGTATCCTTGGCTGGCACATAGTCGGGGGCCAGAGTATATTAATTCAATAACTGTATAAATAAAGGATTTTATTCAAGAGCATGAAAACAAAAACAGGTAAATAAAACTAGTTAATAAACAACTTTACATTCAACCTTGGAATTTGTCTTTTAAGAAACTGTTCTGTGATTTTTACAAAAAGCATAACAGTGGCATTAAATGATCAGAAACAGGGCCTTGCAGGGGGAATGGTGTGTGGTAGAGAAACTGTGGAGGTAGGCAGTCAAATCGGAAGGCTTCAATACAGGAGAGAGTGTTAGGTATTTAGTCTTGGTGGTGGCTCTGGAAAAAGAAAGAACGGAATCTTACTGTAGGAAAAGAATCCCTGGGATTTGTTGGCTGCTGACTTGGGAGCAATAGAGAGGCATCTGTTAGTTATGTAACTCCAAGGTTGGAACAAGGAAAGTGGTGGTGCTGGAGAGCAGTAGACGAGTCAGGAAGAAATGCTGTTTTAGGGAAGGGGTGTTAAGAAAGGATGTGAGTTTCTCCTTGACATATTGAGCTTGACGTGACATCAGAGGGAGACATCCAAGTGAATGAATCTGAAGGCAGCTGGGAAAGCCAGGATGAAGGTGGGCTGAGGGATCTCAGGGTGGGAGATTTGGAAATCTTTGGTCCTGGGACAGGAACTGAAGCTGGATGTCAAAGAGAGCCCTTTTAGGGAGGATGTGGAGCCAGTGAAGGCACAGAGAGAGACGAGATCTACAGGGCACAGTGCCCCAGGAGCCAAGGAAGACACAACTCCAAAAGGCAGACATCTCTGCTTACATTACCTTGAAAAAGATGCAGATCCCAAAGGCCCTGAAATTGTCCTGCACATACTGTTTTTTGTTTTTGTTTTTTTCCTGTTTTTAATCCTCTTGGTCTTTTGGTTTTGTATTGTTGCCAGAAATAAAAATCAGCAGCCAAAGATTCTGAGGAAGGACAACTGAATGTCAGGAATAATAGTGTCATAATGTTTTGATTATATATACAGTACCTACGTGGTTTTTTTTTCCCTAGTTTGTGCACATCGGTAGCAATGTTACCATACCCTTTCCCTAACCTATTCTCTGGATCAGAGTTCTGCCGGTGTATCCCCCGCAGCCAGCCCCCACTTCTTTTTTGATTTGGGTTTTTTTTTTTTTTTTTTTTTGAGACAGAGTCTCACTCTGTTGGCCAGGCTGGAGTGCAGTGGTGCGATCTCAGCTCACTGCAGCCTCTACCTCCTGGGTTCAAATAATTCTCCCACCTCAGCCTCCCAAGTAACTGGAACTATAGGTGCATGCCACCACGCCTGGCTAATTTTTGTATTTTTAGTAGAGATGGGGTTTTGCCATGTTGGCCAGGCTGGTCTCAAACTCCTGGCCTCAAGTGATCTGCCTGCCTTAGCCTCTCAAACGGCTGGGATGACAGGTGTGAGCCACCACGCCTGGCCCTCCACCCCCTACTTCTGAGAGCAGTGAGTCTGCCATCATCTTTGATACTTGGTCTTAGCCCCTCTTGGGGCACCTTCTTCTGTCCCCTTTTGCAAACACCCTTCCCCTGTCTATCCCCATGTGTCAGTGCTCCTCTCTTGGAGCCCAGTCTGGGCTGGCAGGAACTAGGATTTAGCCATCTGCCTTAGTGCCCACACTGCCCAGCTCTTGTCCTGGACATTGTGTGTGGTAGACATGGAGATGAGCCACCAGATCCCTTTAAGAGAAGATGCACTGCCTTGGCATTTGAGCCACTTTAGTGTTTGAGCTCGGTATTTGAGGTGATATTTTTGTCAGGGTGCAGGGCAGGCAGAGTGCCCTTTCTAACATGCAAATCTAATGATACCTCTGATATAGTTGGATATTTGTTCCCTCCCAATCTCATATTGAAATTTGATCCCCCAAATTGGAGGTGGGGCCTAGGTGGAAGGTGTTTCGGTGATGGGGGTGGATCCCTCATGAACAATTTGGTGCCTTCCTTAAGGTAATGAATAAGTTATCTGTCGGTTCCTGCAATATCTGATTGCTAAACATTGTCTGGCACCTCCTTTCCCTCTCTCATGCCATGGGATGCCTGCCTCCCCCTTCCACCATGAGTAGAAACCCCCTGAAACCCGCACCACAAGCAGACACTGGCACCATGCTTCTTATACAGTCTGCAGAACTGTGGGCCAAATACAGCTGTTTTCTTTATCAATTACCCAGCCTCAGGTATTCCTTTGTAGGAATGGGAATGGACTATGACCTCTCACCTGCTGACACTTGTCTATGGCTCAGTAGAGTGTTCAATCTACAATTCAAACCCCTTAGCTTAGCACAGGAAGCCTTTCAAGGCCTGACATTGAGAGCTCTTCAGTTCCCCCACATCACAACTTACACTCATTAGTGCACCATTCTCAGAAACCACTCTGCTGTAGCACTCTTCCATTCTTTTGTCCATGTTCTTTGCCTTGCTGGAGTGGGCTTTTCCCTCCCCTGCTCTAGCTAACTTCCAAAGTCGTCGTGAGTGTGTAGTGTAATTAAGTATGCCCTATGACCTGGAGATCATCCTCCTGGGAGTATATGCTGGAAAATTTCTCACCAGGGTCCACAAGGAACATGGATAAAAGGTTCATTGAAGTGTCGTTCATGCTAATGGGGAGTTGGAGGCCACCTAGGCGTTTGCCACTTGCAGAACATGGTGGATTCATACGTATTGTGGATGCACATCAGCAACATGGCTTGATCTTAAAAATGCAGAATTGGCCAGGCTCAGTGGCTCACGCCTGTAATCCCAGCACTTTGGGAAGCCAAGGTGGGTGGGTCACTCGAGCTCAGGAGTTCGAAACCAGCCTGGTCAACATTGTGAAACCCCGTCTCTACTAAAATTACAAAAAAGAGCTGGGAATGGTGGTGGGCGCCTGTCATCCCAGCTACTTGGGAGGCTGAGGCAGGAGAATCACATGAACCCAGGAGGCAGAAGTTAGCAAGCCAAGACCACGCCACTGCACTCCAGCCTGGGCAACAAGAGGGAAACTCCATCTCAAAAAAAAAAAAAAAAAGGCAGAATCAAGAGGCATCAATATTTATAGCACGGTACTATTTGTGTCAATTTTTTAAAAAACATGCACATAGAAAACATGGATCTTAACAATGATATATAAGGAGGTGAAGGGAAAGGGAGTGAGAATAGGGAAATAAAATTAACAAAAAAAGGGCTTTGAACAGAAAGATGACAGTGTACAATGAAAAAGGAGTGTGATTGCTGTAGTCATTGCAACTGATTTTTTTAAAAAAGGAATAAATTATTCTGAAATATCACTAAGTACAAAAAAACTTTCCAAGACCTCTAAGTTGGCTTTGAGGT